TTATATTTAAAACATAATTATAATTTTATAAATACTACATTAAATACTACTTTAATATTACACAGACAGAAATTTTGTGTCCTCAAAAACAAAAATTAAAATGCAATGTCACCATGATTATATAATATAGAATAATATTCTAATAACAAATAATAATATAAAAATATAATTAAATATTATAAACATGTATATTTATTCATTAATTTATTCATTCATTCAATATTATATAGAGAAAGATACAGAGAAAGAGAAAGAGATAGATTTCCCCCTCAAAATATTCCATAATTTCATGTTGACATTTACCCAAATTTTTAAGACAGATTTAAATAAACACTTATGTTAAACATCTGGGTGGCCAAAAACCCAAATCACATTTAACCGTCAATAACAACTGAGAATTCAATCACAGGCACAATATGTGTGTAAAAATAAAGAAAACACACACACACACACACACACCAGAACAGCTAATGGTCTGAAATATGCACGGATTCAAACTCAAACACACGTACCAGAGGACGATTCAATTACACCAAAACACCATCAAAAAGATTCAAACTCCCACCGAGACGTTTGTCCATATTCAAACAACCAGAACAAAACCACAGTCCACACAATCTGACACATAAACACTGGGCGGCTCTGAATGCAGACGCAGAGACCGTGTTAGTATGCAGTGCAAGAGAAGCGTTCTTACAAGCGTGCAGTAAAATAAACGCCAGCGATACAAACACACCAGAAGCTCATTACTAAATCAATACACACACACGCATAAAACAAACACTCTCCTTCACAAATGCATTAACACACAGACCCGTGTAGAAATGACGCAACTCAAGGACAGTCAGGAGAGCACACTATTAATTATATGCATGAACACAGAGACTGTGTGAATACAAGCAGCCATACAGATGAAGATAGACACACTGACAGACGGGTCTGAGTCTGATTGCTGGTGCTTATGTATCATTAGCTCAGCTGGGTGTGTGTGAGTCCAATAGAGAGCCAGCAAGAGAACAATAATCACTCACACACTCACTCACACACACACACACACACATCAGTAACACCCTCTTTATACCTGGTATTAACGTCTGACTCGGATGGTCTGAGCATAAGTGGACGACACTAAATACCAGACCAGTGCTGTTACTGTTAACTAAAACTATTAGAAATATTTTATATTAAATGAAATAATGCTGAAATTACAAAGTAAAATATAAATATTACATCAAAAACTTAAAACCTAAAAAAACTAAATAAATAAATACATTTAAGTACTAAAATTACTGACACTAACTCTCAAAAAAATATAATGAAATATTTGGAAATTATAAATAAAACATATTTAAAAAAATATTGAACAACTAAAACTAATTAAAATTACAAAAGTACATAAAACTATTCAAACTTAAATTAAATCAAAGCTGAAAATATTAAATTAAAAGCTAATTCAAAATGTTACTAAATAGTATATAAACAATACTCCAATAACATTATTTTAATAGTATATAAATACCAAAATAAACAAATTAAATGTAAAAAAGTACTAAAAGTACTAAAAACTGAAATAATATAATTTAAATCTAAATAGAAATATTAAATAAAACTAATCAAAATGACAATCACATAAAAACTACAAACTTAAAACTGAAAATATAAAATTGATATAATAAATATAATTTAAAAAATAATAAATATATAAATATAATAAATATATAAATAATACTAAAATAAACAAAAATATAATTTAAAAATAAAACTAAATGAGTTTAAGTACCAAATTAGTCCAACTAAATCTGAAATACATATATAATCAAAAGTTTTATCATTAAAATCCTGTCTGACCAAGTGAATTTCATCACAACATTGTGAAAAATGTACATTAATGTTTTTAGATTTGCTGAATATTACATTTACATGGTTATTAAATTATTCATGTTTTTAAATATTAACTTAAAACATTAACTTACATGTGCAATTCTCTCAAATTATACAGAAATGACACACTGCGACTTCAAAGACAGTTCTGTTATGCAGTGCAGTTTAAAAACATTGGACCAATCAGAAGAATCTGGGGGCGGGGCGAGTGTTTATTGTAACATCTGACTGCTGTCAAATCCTCTTATTAATATCTGTTTTGGAGGCGTCTCACCTTGTCGGCGTTGTCGGCCGCGAGCAGGTTGGTGGCGAGCGTCTGCAGCTTGTGTTGGGCCATGTTCTTGAGCGCAGCCAGACTGCGGCGGGTCATGGCCTGCTTCAGGTTCACCGCGGGGTGATTGAGGGAGTCCAGAGCGGCGGGAACAACCTCGTCACACGCGTTCAGAATCTCCACCGCCGTTATTCCCATCACACAGCGGTCCAGCGCTCCTGAAACACACACACAAACAACACACTCAATACAAGAGTTATCCGCTTCTGTGGAAGGGTTAAACTATTTTTTTTAAATTGTAATCTTCATTTAGTTTATGTGAACGTACTAAAACAACTAAAACTGAAATGAAAATTAATTAAAAAAAAAAACATTTAGACATAAAAAAATAAAAAAAAAGACAAAAACAGCTAAATGACTGAATGATTAACTAAAATTACAATTAAAATATAACAAATAATCAAATTAAATTAAATAAGTTTAAGTACTAAAGTTACTAAAACTAAAATTGAAAAAATATAATTAAAAGTTAAATAGAAATATAAAATACTAATAAAAATGACAAAAACATAAAATTACACTCAAAAACACTTACTAAAACTAAAATGAAAGTATAAATAAAAATGTATAAAAATTAAATAAGTTTAAGTACTAAAATGATCAAAACTAAATCTGAAATCATTTAATTAAAAGCTATAAATAATATAAAAAATTAAAAATTAATTAATTTTAAGTACTAAAATTACTAAAATTATAACTGAAAATAATAATTAAAAGCTAAATAGAAATATTTAAAAAATTGAACTGACAAAATCACGGCAAAATTACTAAAACTTCAAAAATTCAAATATAAAAAAATAAATGTAAAACAAAATAATTTCAAGCACTAGAATTCCAAAAACTAAAACTGAAATATAAAATATAATTTAAAAAAAATATATATATAAATATATATATATATATAAAATATATATAATTAAAAGCTAAATAAAATAAAAAATAAAAAATATATAAAAGGAATATATAAAAATAAAATCTAATTCAAAATATTAATACAAACTGCAAAAGCATATTAATGATAGTAAAATAACACTGGTCTTGGTCTGTCTATGCATGCATCAGTCTCTGTATCTGTGTGTTCACCCATCAAAATGAGCTCCAGACGAACCCATTACACTCATCAAACACTGATGCAGCTCATGAGAGAGTGTGTGTTTCCTCTTCTACTCAGCTCCCATAATACCCGGCTGTAAGTGGATTCATAAAACACTAATGCGTCTAATGCAGCAGGAGAGAGAGACAGAGATTCAGCAGCTCTCTGTCGAGTCTCTAATGGGACGCAGACATACAGAGTGAGACAGGTGGATAATAAATGATTATTAGGCAAATATCCTCCTCAAAATAAGACACAGAGCTTTAAGTACTTCCTCCCACACTCACCATCACCCATATGACCAAAACCTTACATCACGGTAACCGTATACGTCCCGAAATTCAATTCCAAATATGACTTATACAGTGTTGCTTAGGGCTGTGTATCACCAGCAAAGTTGTAGCCTATATATGTTCTATTCATTCTTTTTTAGAAACCTCGCACTTTTCTACTCAATTTTAAACGTAAAATTTTAAACAAATTAAGCGTGGTCCACTGCTGCACACGTGCCACAGTATCGATACAGGGCCAGCTGTATCGATACTCGTATCGTCAAATCTCTGTGACGATACATCGTCGTATCGATATTTTGAACACAGCACTAGTGTTGCTATTGTAAACTAAAACTATTAAAGAAAAAAATAATAATAAAATATAAAAATTAGATGAGGAAAATAGAGACGTTGTCTTGGAAACTAACATATGTTTATGATTTATGTTTATAAAGCTAAACAGAAAAAAAATCTAAAATTAATATGAAAACAGTAAATATAAAAACAAAATCTAACTGAAAATAATAATAAATACTAGAATAGTAAATGCTATCAAAATTGTATTACACTTGTGTCCTATATTACATAATCCATGTAATATAAATAATCATATGAACTAAATATTTTACAAATGAAAGATGCTTCATCAGATTTTTATATTAATAACAACTATATAAGAGTATATTAACGATGCCATAAAATTAACACTTGTTATTTAACGTATATATTAAATGTGGTCATATATATTTTTGTATAATCAAGTGAATTATTATTGTACAAATGAAAGACATTTTATATCATCTGATTGGTGACAAAAATAGATCAGATTATTAATCATTAGAAACACACAATTTTACAATTCTGGCAAATATCAATAACTAATTATTATTTTATTTTATGTATATTTATATTACGGCTGACAAATGTTATGACGACATAAAAATTGTATACTATTTTGTCTAAATAAATAAAAAATTCTAAACACTAAAAACTACAATTAATCATTAAAAAAAAAAAATATATATATATATATATTCAATTTATTTTTTTACATTTTAAACATAAAAATTAAACATTATTGCAATTAAATTCCTTTTATTAAATAATTACAAAAAAAATATCCAGTAGCAACCAATATAAAATAAATTTACAAAATCTCTAATCAAGGATAGATGAATAACTCTAGGTCTGAGTTATCAGTGCTAAACAGCTTCACATTACAAAACACTTGATTTCAAATCAATAAGATGTTATAAATCTGATGAAATCTGGAACATAGCCAATATACTGTATATATACACATTACCTGAATTCAGTATTAATGAACCAAGATGCACCATTGCTAGGCAACCATGAGCATGACCTCTGACCTCTGACCCCCGAGCCCAGGCTCACCTGTGTCCATCTGCCAGACGTAGACGGACCCGTCGGAGCAGCCCACCACCAGATAATCGTCACACGGCCTCCACTTGATGACCTGGATGGGGAAGAGATGTCTGGAGGCCAGCATGATGCACTTCCTCTCCCTCAGACTCAGCAGACCGACGGAGTGATCGCTGGCCACCGAACACACGCAGTGCTGCACGCGCGTCTGAAACACACATCACCAGAATAATTACACGCTCAGAACATTAGCCCAAAACACAAGGACAAGCAGTGCAGGAAAGGCGGGGCTTAGCAATGCAGGTGCTGTTTCTGATTGGTCAAGACTTTTCATGGATATTTATTCATTTAGCTGATGTTTTTATCCAAAGTGATTTACAAATGAAGAACCAGGGTTACAAAATAAAATAAAATTATAAAATAAAAAAATTTTTAAAAAAAATTATTTTAGCTAATTGCCAAGGCAACATTTTTATTTTAACTTAGTTCAATGATGTACTAAAATAACTAAAACTTATTAACAATTAATTAAAACAATATAGACTTGTATAAAAAAAACTACTAAAAAGGACAAAAAACAACACAGTTGCTAAAACTTTAACTAAAATTCAAATGGAAATACTAGTAATTAAAATATAATAAAACTATAATAGTATTATTTAGACGATACTAAAATAACACTAAGAAACATCATAAGATATTTTTCAAAGAGCAAAAAATATTAACAATACACAGTGGCAGGTTTTATATATATATAAATACACTAAATAACTAGATTTGTAAATATGCAAGAACAGATGAAAAATAACTGTTTTAATATACGAGTAGGAGTAAAAATAATAATAAAAATAATGGGAGTAATTAATATTTAAAGCATTTTAAACTTTGTACCCTGCACTATTTATTCTATGCCAATTAAAGTTTATTTCAAAGCCAGTAATAAGTCACATGTCAGCTAATTTGTGTCAAAAGGCATGACTTTCATTATTAGTAAAAATTTTGAATATAGTTAGCGTAAAATACGATGACAACTACCCAAGAAAAGGCGGGGCTTAGCAATGCAGATGTTGTCTCTGATTGGTCAATAATTTTTCATGGATTATTTATTCATTTAGCAGACGTTTCTATCCAAAAGTGATTTACAAAAATGAAGAAAATCACAAACAATTTTTATAGATTAAAAATATTCGGAATACACAGGTTTAAATAAAATAAAATAAAATAAAACAAAATAATAAAATAAAACAAAATAAAAACGAGATTATTAAACATGCTAGAGCAGAGATGAAATGCACAAAACAAGAGAAAAAGACCTGTTTTAGTCACACAGCTAATTTATGGGTCAAAAGACATGATTTTCATTTGTAGAAATTTTTTTTATCGAATTAGCATAAACTATAATGACAACTAATATGAAACTATGGGACGTGAGAATGGGCGGGGCCCAACAGCTCAAATGTTGTCTTTAATTGGTCAAGAATGATGAGTCTAATTAATATTAAATTAATATTTTAAACTCTTTACTCTGCACTGAAAAAAAAAAGTGTAGGATTTAGAATTTTCACTCAGAAATTGTTAGTAAATTTCACAGATAATGAAATGACAAGCAAGACATTGAATTAAAAAAGTTTTTTTAAGTAGAAAGACTGAAATCGTGTTTTCTTGTAAAAAAAAAAAAAATTTTAATTTTTTTTACTTTTACATATTAAAAAAAAAAAAAAAGTTATCTATTCAAAGTCTAATAAAGTTTCTTTCAGAGCCATTAAGTTACATCAGACGTTTATTTAAGGGTCAACATGCATGACTTTCATTCGTGGTAAAAATTAAAACCCCAAACAGTCTCTCCAATCGATTCTGTCTCGCTTTATTCACACCGAATAAAACACCGGCGAATCATTAAATGCCAACAACATCGAAAAAACACAAGAGAGAAGTCAAAAGCTGCCAACAATGAAAGTGGAAAGGGTCCACTCAGGGTCTGCCTCGCACAACAAATCCTGCAGCAAAGGTCAAGCAGGACTTAAGGAGGGAAACTCGGAGCGTTTCCATGACAACAGCGCGGCCGGTTCTTTTGATTGCGTTTGGCCTCTTCGTCTGACATTTAGTGCTGAAAGTCTGTGTCTAATTGGTCACCGAGGTGAGACTCAGAGATCAGAAATTCTGCGGCCGTCGAGAGCCGGATGAACTTTTACATGTCTGGAGAGGAACCTTTAAGAACAGTGAAGAAAACGTCACCGTTGTGATGCTAGTAGTGAGTGAGTAATAATGACTGGATATCCATTTCTGGGTCTCGTAGAGCAACAACCTCACGTCTCCTACACCTTCAGACTACTCCAGAAGGAAAAAGACGCATGTGTGTGTTTGACAGCTGATGTTCTTGAGGTTTGATGGAGTGTCATGAGAAACCAAAGCTTTGTCATTGTGAATAAATAAATAAATAAATAAATGTTTAAAATAAACATTATCTGAAATTATTTTTTTTTACTTATTTTATTTCAGCTAGTTGCAAAGGCAACATTTATCATTCTTTGTTTAGTTTAACTTGAAGTTCTAAAATAACTACAACTGAATTAAAAATGAATAAAAACTATACACATTTAAAAAAACGATAAAGATAAAGAAATAAAAACTGCATAAAGACAACATTTCTAAAACTTTTACTAAAATGAAAATAAAAACATTCAAATAAAAACTTATAATATAATATAAAAATGTAAATAAAAGCATAAAAATTATTAAAATTATTTTAAAAAACTATATAAAAAGACAACAAAACTACTAAAACTGAGATTAAAAAGAAAATGGGAAATATAATAAAAACTATTTTATATATATATATATATAAATAAATACAAAGATTCAACTACAATTATACAAATTCAAAATATAAATAAAAATGACAAAAAAAAATTATTAAAACTAAAATGAAAATCTTGATCAAACTTTGCATAATAGGGCTGCACAATTAATTGAATGTGATTGTCATGCGCATCTTGTCAGTAAAGCCGGTTCTGTAATCAGTAGTAAATCTCCATCACTGTGTTAGAATATTTGGCAACAGTTGTGCTGCCAAATATTTTTTTGGAAACTGCGATACTTTTTTCAGGATTCTTTGACGAATAAAAAGTTAAAAAGAACAGAATTTATTCAAAATATAAATCTTTTCTAACAATATAAATCTTTGCTATCACTTCTTATCAATTTAACACATCCTTGCTGAATAAAAGTTTTAATTTCTTTCAAAAAAAGAAAGAATACAAATGTACTGACCCCAAACTTTTGAACCGTAGTGTATATTGTTAGAAAAGATTTCTATTTTAAATAAATGCTCTTCTTTTTAACTTT